ACAAGGTGGTTCCTTAGAGGGTGCCGTTAGGAACTCTAGTTTGGTTGGCGGTGGAGTTTGAATAATGCAGACTTGCAAGCCTGCTTAAAAGTGATCGCTCCAACCCCCTCCCCTTCAGCAGCCCTACCGGTTTCCCTTTAGAATCCTACTTCCAGTTCGTCTAAGAGCACGAACTAAGATTGATTTTAGATTGGGTGGGAATTGGGAATAGCTGGCCCGTTACTCTCTGGCAACACACTTTTCCCACCCCTCTCTCTCTCTTTCTCTCAACCCCTTCTTTCCACTTCTATGCCTTTATCTCCCTGGTGGTTGATTTTATTAAAGTTCCCGTTTGCCAGCGGTATGAGCTTGTATGCATGTAAATTGCCGGAATGCTTTGAAAGGAGCCGCAAATGCGTGAAATCATTTCGCTAAAAGATCCTGCGAAAGAGCAAACTACATGTACAACGCAGTTGCGTACAGTTTTGCGTTGGTTCTAGTGCGATTTTAATCCTGTTTAACGTGATATTTTAGTTCCGATTATATCAAAGTAACAGTCGCGGCGCCGAGTGACGGAATTTAATATCGTATCAGCGAAGAAACAGCTCTGGGAAATTCGAAATGGATCGGTTCACGGGGGAAATTGAAAATTCAAATATACATTTTCTCGCATTGGTATCGTAGTATTACCAAATTATATCAACGTTACCCGGATATGGTAATGCTTCGTTAAATTCGAGAAGTTTTATTTTGGTTAGTAGGTGGAGAAATTTTTCGAGAAAATTAAAAAGTTTCAAACCATTCTGGAAAAAATATTTTTAGTTTCGGGGGTCGATTACAATCATTTTTGGTCATTACACATACCCCCGAAATCCTACTCAGTTTCGAGAAAAAAATTCCTTACCGTAAATATAATTTCTAGCCAGAAATGTCGGCCCGAATATTCATGCGAATCTTTAAAACGTCATAACTTCTGAACGGATTGGACGATTCTAATTTTTAAAAAAGCAAACTACGCGTATTTTGACGGAGAATATGTAGCAATTATAAAAATATTCGAAAAGTTGGTTCTTAACCCCGTTAACTGAGGAAAACCCCATAAAAATGGTCCGATTTTCAAACAGCCATAACTCCTATAATAGTGAATATATTTCAATGAAATTTATTTTTGAAGTAGAGCCCATGGGTACCTACAAAAAAGTATTAGATAACTTTTCTGTAGGGCGTCAAACAAATTTATTAAAAATGAAAAACAAATTTTATAGAAAAATCGACAGGGGGTAGGTGCCTCAATTTTTCGGCGGAAAAAAAAAACTTGGAATCGTTTTGAAAAAATTATGTTCGGTTGCAGGGGTTAACTACAATCATTTTTGGTCAATAGACATACCCTCAAAATCCTGCGCATTTTCGAGAAAAAAATTCAGTACCGACGTAACTTTAAACGTTAATTTACTTTTTAACGAAGCCTCCTTCAACAAATTGGTATTCTTGATTTTCATTTTATTTTTCTTGCGTAGAATCCATCTAAAAAATTGTTAAAGGCGAGCTCCATCCGGAAAGCAATGAATGCCAACGCGAACTACGGCTTCTACGAAAGCGTACAATTTTGGAACAGTGTTTTGAACCGCGTAAACGAGTTTCCCATATAAGTATACCAGTATATCAGTGGCTAACGATATATTTAACACACCAAGCCGCAGCAACGTTTACGCATGCGTATGCAAAATAGCGAACGGCAGACGTAAAACTAAGCACGGTTGCACGCGACCGCGAAGATTCTTATGCATAACTACACGCGGATTCGCGGCCCGAGATGCAAAACGTTTACCGCGCGGCCCAGACGTACGCGGAATATGCAAAGAAGACCGGTGTTTGCTTTCGCGCCAAGTAAACTCGCGTTCTTCCGGTTCCGGGCAAAGTTAGAAATTAATTGCCGAATTACCTACTTACTAGCCATTACCGGTGATTCGCATCTCCTCTTCTAGCTTGTAACGATTCAATCTGCTTCGCGCGAAACAAGCTGTTGGAGCTACAACACACGCACGAGGGTAGGCTACCCCTTCTTAAATTTAAAAATAAATAGTTTTAAAATATATCGAAGAATAATTTAATTCTACCATAAAGGATCGTGAAAACTTTTCCATTATCGAAGGGGTCCGCGGAAAAGCGAAGTTTAGGAAACACTGGAATAGAGAAGAGTTCGTCAAACTATGGGCCGCGATGCCCCTGGGGACGAGTTGAAATTCTTTGGAGTTGTAGAAATTTGTTAAGAACTTGGAATATGTTTCTTCTTATTTCGAAATGTCAGAATATTTTATACGTATTAATACGAAAATACTTTGACCTTTCGAAAACGTTTGAGGACATTGTTCTTATTATTTTGATGAAAACCGAGAAATTCTCAGTTGTCTCTTTTTACTCTGAAATTGTAGGGAGGAAAAAAGAGGTGGGATAATCGGATACCGGTTAATGGCCGTGCAGGTTTGATTTTTATTTTGATCATTCGACAGATCCGTGACAAGTATCTAAATGATCGGAAAGCTTTTTGTCGTCGGTGTATACCTACATATGTACACATATAGGGCAATGCAGAAGCCCGCATTGCGGAATGAGAGATCGTCTATCGGCCTATTGGCCTGTCCTCTCTGCTCGTCTATCTCCGTCCGTTTCGTTTTCGCTATCTGGCCGTCTGTTCCTATCTTTCCTCTCTGTTCGCGGCTCAACCCTTTCGCGCTGTTCCTCTTTCGTTTGCCAATTTGCGAGAGATTCGCGGCTCGAGGTGATACCCGTTAGCCGCGACGTGTGCGTGCCCGATAAGAATCTCGTTTCGTTTCGAACCGATCGCATAAATCAACGATCAGATCGGGACGCGACGTACGAAGATTTAGCGACGGGAATTCGGAGGAAACGTTGAACGATTTTTCGAGCTTCCTTGTCGGCGTATTTCATCAGCGAAACGGAAGACGGTCTTGCCAACACAGATTTAACGTTAATTTAAGTGCGAGTAATGAAATAAAAAAATAAAACGAGTCATTTTATTAGAAATCTTAAAAAAATCAATTTCTTTTACCAAAGGCAACGCACAAGAAACTCCGCCCGAAATTGCGTAATTATAAACCGATTAATCGTAAGGCAGAACGGTGCAGAACGGTGCAGAACGGTGCAGAACGGTGCAGAACGGTGCAGAACGGTGAAAAAAAGAGGGAAAAGACGACAGAAGTGAAGGATCAGCGAACACCGGGCGCCGAAAATAAATTTCACCGTGGGAGTTCATGAAAAGCACCAACGGCCATTAACGTTACTCCCGATCACTTTTGCTCCCATCTATCCTAGCTTCTTTTTTCTGTAACTTCCATTCCTCTGTATTTTTGTTCGTTCCTTTTTCAGCGCATTTTTGGCGTCGTTCCGCAATTCTCCCGCTATTTTTTCCCGGTCCTCTTTCCTTTTAAGGGGTGCTCGTTCTCGCTGAATCTTTTCCATTCTTCCTCGTTGTTCTCCGTCCCTCCCCAGGGACGGTAATCGGATAAAAAGGATTAATTGCCGGCCCCGTGGACCCTCTTTCGGCGGAAAACCGATACAACAGCTCATTATCAGCCAGCCCCGAGTAAAGAGAACGAACGAACGAACGAACGAACGAACGAACGAACCGCGTACAATCGTTGGGAAGGAATTCCATATTTTATTCCACCCTGTGCCGCTACCCCACCAACGGCAAGAGTGTTAACGATTCTGCGTGGATTTAGCGGATTGTAAATTTTAATAGTCGCGGCGAGATAACCGTGTCCGTTAATTGGAGGTAGCTGGGGTTTCTTTGTCGGGAGCCGGGGTTAACGTAATTTGTCGAGAAACTATGCACTACCCCCGAGTTTTCAAACATTTAACATTCACGGCTATAATCCAATAAAGAGTTATAACGCTGAAAAAGATGTTTTGACGAGAGATTATGGCATGTACATACATCGAGTTACACATTTCTAAACACTTGTTTTACAATTTAGAATTGAAACTAACTTTCGCGTAGCGTACGCGTTTCATCCCTTGTAAGAAAACAAACGCGATTTGACACCGCGATGTGCTCGGAGAAGCCCATAAAAGAAACCTAACGTTTTCCTTTTCAAGAAGGAGAGAGCCCGCCCCCAAGATCGTCGGAGGATCCATCAAGCTACGTAATTAATTAATCCCTGTACCAGCTTCATCGATCTTTTCGGTTTATTTTAATGGATTCTCGAATGCTGCTGGCCACTCGTAATCGTGGCCAGCCCTCTGCGTGGCGAAAAATCCAGCCAGGAATTCAGCTCGACGAGTCTCGAGCCGACTGGCAAAAGTGAATTTTCGAAATCCGCTCAGTTCGGCCGGCGGACGTGCCGAGCATTTTCCAAGGGTCCTGAAGGGGCGCCGAAATTTTTATCACGTCTCGCGGCGAACTTATTGCTCGGAGAGGTATATCGATGTGCAAGCCAACCCCCCATTCCGTCCTTCGGACGAGATTTTTCTGTTCCGTAGACGCGCAGGACCGCTAAATACTTTGATATATCGAGCTTCTTACGACTGCAGTTTCATCTTCGAGCTTTCCACTTTATTACCAACATTCTTCCAAGTTATCAATGCCAACAGCTTTTTTAACAAAAGCTTTCCCATCGAACGAAAAACGTACGCAATAGTGGATCAGCAGCGAATTGTTTAAACAAATCCATGCACACGATAAATACGAAATTTCTCGTTACACGTACAAATTGTTCAACAGTTTCATGGAGGCAGGTTCAATTACCTTTCGAATATTTCTCCTCTGGGCGGCGTTTTAACAAATTTATTCGCTCTGCGCGGATTCTCCAATTTCGTTAAAAGTAGCGTCGAACCAACGCAACGGGGTGGTTCTGCAAATACTATCTCTGATTAATTCAGCACGCGGGATAATTGAATGTCCGAATTTTTCCGTCCCGTGACAAACACGCGCCACCGTTTCTAGGACAGTGTTTTATTTATACAATTTAATCGCATGACAAATTGTTTTCTGTTTTCAGAGCGTCGCGTGGGGCGAATGGTCACCTTGGTCCAAATGGTTCGGTTGCTCCAAGTAAGTAAACAACATTTTTCCTTTACCAGTAAATTCGTACATTTTACGTACAAACGAATCTAAAGATTTCTCCTGTTGCGTTGCGATTTTAGGGGCTTGAAAATTCGCCCGTAAAATCTTCGATCCAAGCCAGTGTGCGAGGGTTGGTGTAGAGCGAGAAAATTTCAAGCAAGGAATTCGCGGGCAGAATCGTGGTTCGATAGCCCACGGTATCCCGTTTACAGAGTCGTTTCGCAGTGTCTAATATTGAGTCGTTGGTACACCGACGGAATGTTAAGCGTTTCGGAACTCATTTCGGTAGCGGCAAGTTCCGATGGCGGCCAGCTCGTTTTTCAGCTGGCCAGAAATGGGCGCAGACTGTGCCGGCAAATAATTTATGACGCTTACTACTAGTGAACCGCACTCCCCTCTCTCTCTCTCTCTCTCTCTCTCTCTCTCTCCCCATTGCACCGGAGAAGCTTATTGTATGATGTACGGGGCCGTACATTCGACGCTTCGAGCCACTAACCGGTAAATCTTCGTTCGCGTTCACCCGATACAATTATTAAAATTTTTTCCTCTTGCCGCAAACGCGCCGTCGCGTCGCGTCGATTTACGTTTCTCGCTTTGGAAATTTGCTCGCGACTCGACGATCTCGCAACGACCTACAAAATGGCCCATTATTCGTGACAATTTGGACCACGATCTGCCACTGCAAACAACGAGAATAATGCGTGCGAAAGCCAACATTTCGGATTTCAATTTGAAGCGTAAACGGGAAACGAATCGAAACTTGAGCAGGATTTCGCAAACTTGAACGCATTCGCTGAAGAACGGTGCGAATGTTATTCGCTATCGAATAAGCCAGAGTTTGTTTGGGAATTTAATAAACTCGACGGTGAAAATTAGAAACGACGTTTATTCGACGCTGAAAAGACAACTTGGAAATATTCCAACAAATTAACCCGATTTAATTTGAAAATTATGACAAGCACGACCGTGAAACGGCCATTGGAAATAAAGTTTCCATGCATCGACCAAACTTTTTGAAAACGAGGTGCCTTTCAAAGCAATTTCTTACAAACGTTTCGTTGTCGCAGACTCAAGGATCCTCCTCGTTTAGTCAACGCTCTTCGTTATGCATGTTCCCTGTATTACCTCGCTTTTAAATATTAAAGCGCGCTGCATCTGAAACAAATTTTAAGCAGCGACGTCACTACTGCCAACTACCGAGCTGCACATACTGAAAACATGAGTGCCACTTAAACTCTCGCAGCGAGTCGTTCGTGATCAAGAAAACCGTACGACGTAACTTTCCTCGCTGCCTCGAATTTCCTTCTAATTTGTCGCTGCTCTCTTACTGTTACGATGGTTTCTTGGAAAACGCACTTCGTGATGATCGATTCGTTAAAAACAAGGAGATCAAAATACAGACAGAATTCGTAATATACAGGGTGTTCGGCCACCTCTAGGAACAATTTTAACGAAAGATCTTTGCTGTTCGAAATTTTGTAATTTAATCAATGGATCGACGAGGACACTATATACTATACATGTATAACGTGATATTCGTTTTCGTTGATATTTTTCGAGCAATTTGAACACACAAAGGAATTCGTATCCCATGATTTTTCCCCGCTGCGTGAAGCCCGGCGTCAGTAATTTCACGTATGCTCCTTGTTAGTGCATAGTTTATTGTTTTTTTAATTATGCCCGTCCCACTTTGCAGGAGCTGCGGCGGTGGAATTTCTCGGCAGCAGAGGCGATGCAGGAAGAAACCTTGCAAAGGTAGACCGTGGAGCACGAAATACAAGATCTGCAATCCCGAGGTGAGTCGCAAAGTGACCGTCAGAATTTTTAATTATTTTCAAACTATAAACACTGCTACGAAAATTCTTTCTGTGCCTCGGTCTACAGAGAAGAAACAAGGTCCTGCCGATTATTAAAATTTTTTATTCGTTAATTCAAATTAGAACTTAATTATTTCATTGTAATTGAATCGGTGGCACCACAGTTAGTTGTGCACCTATAAAATACTTCTATCATTGTGATATTTTGTCTTAAGTGACCGAATACCCTGTGTACTTTAAAGGTGTATCGCTACCGATATTGAAAATAGACTAGAAAATGAATGAAAAATAGGGAAGCACCGATCGTAACCTATCCCTATCGCGTCTAAAGCTAAATAAGAAAAGAACCAGTCGGAAGATCACGTAAGGGAATAACCGTTCGTCGTTCGTGTACATCCTAAATTCAATTATTCCACCGAAAGCAACGCCCTTATCAATATATGTAATTGTATTAGGTGTGGTGGAAGAGAGAGCGGTCTATAGGAAACAACCACGTCGAGAGATAGAACTGTAGAGCCGCGGCGTAGTTGTGCCCCGTGTTTCCCGCTATCCTTTATCACGAATGAAGCGTACGGCAAGCAAGTTGTCACGCGAAGAGAAACGGGACGACGAAACGACGTCCCCTCTCGCTCGCCCTGGCAACGCGTACATCCGCGTGATTATAACGGTACCCGGGTTTGAGTAACTGGAGGAAATTTGCGGTTCCCGACAAACAACGAAACGAAGTTAACTCCGTCGTTTAACAGACAAGTTTTGAAGCCGCCGCGCGGTATTCCGGCCGCGATAGCCGTCCTCGATTCGCTTCGTCTGCCGCGGTTCGCTCGGATTCTGGAAACGGGAGGCGCCATCGTGCCAGTTTGCCGTCGCGACGTCTCTCTTTTCGTCAACCGAACTACCAGTTTCCGATAAACTGCGACAAATTTACCGATTATGCAAAACGCAAACGTTTTTCTTTCTCCTGATGTTGCTTGAAAAGGAACTCTTGAAGGAAGCATGATAACGCAAAATAAATGACTAAATGATCAACGAAAGGGGTGAAAAGGCAAGACCATCAGGATTCCTGGTTTGCAGAAACCAAAGCCCGAAGAAGCTCGGAACACACGGCCTGTCGCTGCCAACAGGACGAGCGGTTATCCGCGTCAAAGAACAACGCGCGGCACGGCTCCGTAATTAATTATTCCAGCGTTATCACGGCAGCCAACACGACCGTCAGAAATTACGCGTATTATCAATTCAAATTCGACGCTTGACGGTCAGCTGCGGTTGTCACATACGACCGTGTCCCAAGCTGCAAGTGCATCGAATACGCGGCACTCCGGTGCACCCGGACGAAACCCCCCGGGGGGTAGAGAGATGCAGGTGACCCGACCCACATACGAATCTGGGCCGAGTTTCGACCCCCGCGACGGACACGCGGCCGGCCATTCCCCATTGATATCTGCCAACTCGATATTCCACCCCCTTCCGAATTTACCCTCGCTATTTTCGAAAGCCTCCCGCGAACAGCCAGCATTGTCTTTCGTTGCCTGTTACCTCTGTCCGACTCGGCGGCCGACACGATTTCCTCAGAATAAAAACGGAACAAAAAGGGCACCAACCGCAGAAAAGTTGCATTCCGCTGCGGATCGTAAATTCGAGGCTAAAAATCGATCTCCCTCCTCTTTGTTCCGCTCAGCGTCCCGTAAATGTATCACCTTTATCCCTTTATCCCTGACGATATTTTCCCCGTTTACGTAATTTTCGTTCGACTCGAATCAAACTTGACAAAGTCTGCTCTTAACGATCAAATTTCAATCAAAGAAATTATTCTTTTGCTATGTATGGTTGCTTTTCAACTTGTTATCTTCTTTTCTAGTATAGCATTATTTTGTTACAGTCTGTACTGGGAGCGCTGAATGGTCTTATTCTACCGGAGAACGAATAAATCATTCGTTATTTATGATTCCTAGATTCAGTTGTTTGTATTTCATTCGATTCCTTCCACCGAATCGATCGTCTCATGAATATTGCGAAATGAAACGAGGTACATACTTTTAACCGCGGAATATTGCTCGATGGAAATTATCATTGTTCGATGGTTAATCAATCACTTTCGATGCACGTCACGATTCGATATTCGTTGTCTCTCCTTCGAGCCTCTGTTTATATTTCCGTGACCAATCATTCGCGCGCGCGCAACCATTTGTTCTTTAAATTACCGAATAACCGGTCTCGAGTGCCTTGGGCAGAAAAATTCACGATACTCGTTTTGTAAAGAGGATGCGATACATATATGTATGTATGTATGTATGTATTTTTTACAATTCTGGATGTGAATATTTTCCGAATATTCTTCCGTAGTGTACGAGTTTATTATCTCGCGTGAACGATGAAAAGAGAATACATATTTGGCTCGAAAGTTTCAGTTGGACTCTCGCCTAGAAACCACGCGAAATAGTACTTAACTTTTTGCCAAGACGATAAAAACGGTAGCAAACCTAACCGCTGGATAAAACGACTTTTTCAGCACAGTACTGGTCGTGTTATCTAAAAATGAGCACCGACTGCAGCATACCTTAACCCTTTCAAAGATTTTGATACATACATACATACATACATACATACGTTCGTATTTACTCTTTAAGTTATTTTAAATGTCGTAACACGAAAGTAATCATTAACACCGAAACGAGTAATTCATAATTCATTTTCTCAGTGATACAACATAACACGTCAGATGATAATAATAAACTCGGAAAAATCATAATCGTCGAACTCGGACGAATTTCGCGTGCTGAATGGTTTCACGGTCGTCGTTTCCGGATCCTGTGAACAATCTCTAGCCCGTTTCCTGTATGGAGGGGGCACGGGACGCGGTGCAAAATTGCGTCTCGAGTTTGTGCAGGGTCGCGGAATCGGTCTCGCTCGGTCCCAGGTGAGAACGCTTTCGTCGTCCCGGTGCGAACGACGTGACATTTCGCTTGTGGGGGGGCGGACGTCGCGTCGCGACGCCGCGTTCTCCTTCGAGAAGGGAGACCTGCACACGACGGTTCGTAAATGCGCCGCCAACTAAGCTGTCGATAGGTTCCCTTCACAAAGGCAACGTCGATCCAGCCGCTCTTTTTCTCCGGCTACGACGGCCGCATACGTAACGCGCGATATCTTTCGCTGAACCGGTTCGAAAGCAGCTTTATTGCGGCTTTGCCGCACCGACCGATTCATTCTCTTTCCCGCGCGCTTAGTCTTGCCAGACCGGCCTACAAACGTGCTGTCCATTATGCCCGGCGAACAGAGAATGCCGGAAAGAAATAAGTACGACTCGTCGGGAATTCTTCCTCGTGAACCCCTCGATTGTATTCGAAGAGATTCACGAATCAGCCTCAAACTTCCCGCGACGGGGCTACGTTTTCGTTTATCGAGGGAAAAAGCGTTCGACTATATTCGTTGGAGAGTTTCGTCACGTTTTCTCCCTGGCGCCAAAACGACACGGATTCCCAACGTTCTCGCGACATCTCTCGTTCGACGCGATGGACAATTTTCCGTGGGCCGCGATAAATGCTTGTCCGCTTCTGAGCTTTTTATGACGTCGCATCGAATCTGGCGGGTCTGATTGGTGAACGGTGATCGACGCGTACATTCTTCGTGGTGCAAACGAGTCAACGTTGAGCCTGACGAAATCTGAGGGCGCCGAACGTCGGCCCTTTATCCCATCAATTCGTTCCCCCGACGTTACGGAAAAGCGACACCGATTTCTATCGATATAGAGAAAATAACGAGGGCTGTACACGTTTTTACGCCGTCCCGCGGAAAAAGGTCTCCACCAATTTTGTCAACGATCCTCGGAGATGGGAGACGAAATAAACGGAGGCTCGTTTCATCGGTAACAGCTTTATCCTCCTATCGGTCCCGTTCCGTTGTTAAGATATCGCTATACACGGTTCTACGCGATTTAGTTTCGGGAAAGTTATGGCCGCGTCCGCAACGATGATTGGAAACATTGCTGCTGAACGAAGGTTTCTAGATTTTCTAGCGAGCAAGAAGTCTTGAAATAAAATATATGGCGTAATTAAAATACAGAAGAAAATCTGTATTGTTATTTGGCTGTTTTGGTCGTGTATTTCCGAGAGATTTATCAGTCGTAGGACGCGTAGGTCGATTTGCCCCCCCCGCGAAATAAAGAACGGATCGAATTAAACGTAATTGACACATCCCATCGGTGTTGCGATGCTGGCAGTCTTCGCTCGTTGCATTTCGTATCGCATGCATCGTTACACGGAGCACGACTCGGTCAAATGAATTTATTCTCCGTTTATTATCGCGTCATTTTTCAAACGCGTATACACGGTGATTCGTGCGAGAACAAGCGACGCGTGAAAAATGAACTGCTCGCGCAACATCGTAAAACCGTGCCGAAACAGCGAGACGAACGAGGACTTAAAAATTCATGGGTGAAATCGTAACCGAATATTGATCGATCGATACGTCTGAAATAATTAATTTTAAAAAAAATTAACTTTACCAAATAAATAAAGAAAATATTGAAAGAATCTCGGTTAGGTATGAACGCGAGCAACGCTCGAGATCAAAGGGATGGAGGAAAATAAATGTATCGTCGCGACGGCAAATGAAACGCCAGATTACGTGGACTCGTGGACTCGGAAAGATTTACGAAGCTCGTTACTGAAAAAAAGAAACGAGAGAAGATACAAGTAAACGAAAGAGTAACGGAGCATTGATAGTTACAGGGAGTAGAGAGATATAAAAAAAAAGGGTAGAAATAAAGGAAAATGGAAAATATTTAACTCGCGGAACACGATTCCGCGCAGCGATACGTTTCAACGGACTCATCAGTCCGCGAATGTAAATTTGGCTCGCGAAGCACTGACCGGGCCACCGGTTAATACAGAACCAAGGGAAGGATTATGCTGAAAGGAGGGATTACGCGGACCGACGACCGCGAAATTGGAAAATTTATGAAAACCTGACCGTCCGTTCGCAAC